TTTCATGTAAAACAAAGCCAAATGAATAGAAAATTTAAAAATTTTTTGGGTGGAAAATTATACCAATCAAACACACTTGAAATCATTTTCCCTGCAAAATATTTTCTAGGCAAATCTTTTCCCTGTAAAACATTTTATTTCCACCCATTTTCCACCATTGCAATCAAACGCACCCTTAGAGAAAATATCTAGTTAATTTCCATTTCCTCTTTCATTTTCAACTTGGGATTTATGGATTGTCAAACGTGTTTTTCAAGTTTACTTTCTTTACTAATAAAATTGACCTTTTTGAAATTTGACTTTTAAGCACTGTCTTTATAAAAGTTTTAATAGGTTATGGAAAAGAATATAAAAGTCACTTTATAAAAATATTGTCTTTACTTTCAAAAAAAAAAAAAATTATTGTCTTTCATAATTCATACTATAAATAATTTTTAGATGTGTAATAAGTTTATTCTATTGAAGAAGTTATTCACCCTCAGTGCCATTCTCCTATTTTGGGAGAAGAAATATATTTTTAAATAGTATTTTTTAGAGAATGTGTGGTTGAAAAGTAAAGTTATTTTATTGGTTTGTGTGTAAAATATTTTATTGAGTGAATATGTGGTGAAGATTGTTTACTGTAGCAAACAATGTTTGATAAAATGGATGACAAACAGGGCTTAATTGAACGGATCAATAAAAGAAAATAATTTTAATAGTGATAAATTAAAAAGTGGCCATTTAAATAGAAATCCCTCTTCCTTTTTTCTTTTTCTTCCCAACTTAGACATACGCCGGCTTTCGGAATAAACACAATTTACCAGGGCGGAAGTCACTACTCACTATTATGCGCAGTTGGTGAACTTAGAAAAGAACACGCCAGAAAACAATGTGGAGAAAGGCTCTAGTATGCGCTGGTGGTGAACTGCAACAACTTTTTCGACCATGGCGCACTTTAGCATCTCGCTCGTCATCCAGCGTCTCCTCCGTCGCCGCCGTCAACTCCATACTACTCCGTTCCCTCAAAGACCACTATGTAGAAGTCTCCAAAATGACCCCTCCTCCAGTATGTTCTCTCTCCACATACGCATTTTAGTTTAGTTCTTAAGGCATATAATTGGATTAGGGTTTTCGTGTTAATTTTTTTCTTGAAGTTTCTGTAGATTAATCTTTGAACGCACTTGTAATACTAATATGTCGTCACCTGCATATGTGTAGTACTGTGATTACGTAGAAATGAGCATATAAATTATTATTACGCTGTAAATGGAACTGATTTTTTGAGTGCTGTTAGGGTACTTCTGCAAAGGTTTTAGTGGGCTTATTGGACTTAATTTTTCTGGCTCTGTTTTGGAATTTTAGATTAATTTTAACCAGGGCCATCCCAAAAATGACTGCCCAAAGCCTCTCTTCTAATACCTTTCTTCCAACACGACATAGAAGTGGAAGAGGAACAGCCAAGGAGGAAAAGAATCACAATGAACTCAGACAAACACTTTTAGATCCCCTTTGAGTAATCATGCCTTATATTAACAGTGCGGCATATAACAGAAAACAATACACAGCAGAAATATAATGGATATAGCAGGGACTCACAAATCTAATAGTTGTATTATTTTTATTTTGCACATGTTTGAAATTAACAAATTTTCTTTTATATTTTTTTCAATTGCACGGGATGCTGTGTCGCAGCGAACAATGTAAGTTGTGTCAGAGTCGTGCACAAACTTCGGTTTCAGTGTATGTGGTCTTGTAACTGAAGGACTAGTTGATTTGAAACTGGACTGTGACATGACTCAATTTATTTATATTAGGCAATGGAAGCTGTTGTGAGATATCTAAGTCTATTGTTTGCCTTATCCGCATTTCTAACTAGTCGCTTGTAGATTAGCTCCTTGAAATTCTTCTTCTTTATTTTCACAATATTAATTCTCTGGAAAATACTTGCTTATTGCTGATAAGTAAGTTTGCTAGTGAACATGCTCATGATGATTTTACAGAATCTCTCTCGTGTTTTTTGTGGCTTAATCATCTTTTATAAATTTTATGTTCCACAGAAAGTTAGCCCACCTTCACCATTCACCGTTGAGAAAGGGGCACTTCATAGTGGTGGTGCTGTTCTAAAACGCACATACGGAGACGAGGAGATCAGTATTTCTGTAATGCGATTGGCTAACATAATTCCTGGAGATTCTGGAGATGACAACGTTGATGATGGTATTAATCAGTTGTTTCTTCATGTTGATATCTCTAAGCCAGGGCAGAAGGAGTCTCTGCATTTTCTCTGTGGTTTGTATCCTGATGCTTTGGGAATTCACTCTGTTTCGTTGAGGCCAAAAGCTGATTCTTCAGGGTTCCTTGTGGTTCCAACTAAATACAACGGCCCTATTTTTGAGTAAGTTACACTTGGATAAAAAATTGTTAGAATCATGCATGTTTGGAAGCGAAATGTTTATTGTTCTTGTGTTTATTGTAGAATGCCAAGGAAGATCTACCTTGGCTAATTTTTAAATCTTTGAATCACCTTAAAATACTCCAGTCCGTGCCTTGACCTTTCTCCCAGTTCTAGGAACAATCTCTACCAAAGGTGCATAGGCATCTTCTGTTCATATTAGAGATGGGATATGATTTTTCTTGTCAAGTGACAAAGGCATTGAGTAGGGTAGACGAGGACGTCCAAGAATAGAGAAAATTGTGTGGAATTTGTTTACCCCCTTCCCTTTTAATGAGGGAGGAGTCAAATTCTACGGCACAAGCAATCCTGATTTAGCCAAACTCTCTCATCTTATACTTGTTTCCTTTTTGTTTGTTTAATTCCAAATTAATAAAAGTATCTAAAACTAACTTGCCAATAGGTGTAATTATATTATAATTTAAATTACACATTCTTAACCTTGGATAGCTAAGACTAATCTCAATAAAATCCTTATCCAGAATTCCTTAACAAGTCCAACACAATTATAATATCAATGTAGCAATAATGTGTACAATGTGGAAGGTAGCTTAGTAGGGACCCATAGAATACCTAGCTCTCATAGGACTTGAATGATACTTGCAATCTCTTTACTATGCAAGAAATTCCATTAGTTGTATTTCAGTGCACTTAAGTAATACAATTGCAGTCTTAGATTTTACAGTTACACTCTTATATGTAAATTATAGGATTAAATAGTAGCAATGGTTTAAAAACTTAAGTAATAGAACAGTAGGAAATATAAATTGTTCTTGAATTTTCAGCCCTTTTGTTTCCTGTAAAATGCTGAACTAACTCACAAAGAACCTTTTTTTTTCTTTTTTTTGAAATACTGGAACAACACTTGCAGTGCACGAGAGGAGTGTCCTTTGTGAAGCCATTTCCTTTATGCACTAAAATCTGCTTCCTCTGATGCCTTCTTCTAGCTGACATGTGTTTTATGGCAATTACAATTCATTCTTTGACCCAGAACAAATTACAGTAGTTAGCATTTAAATACCTTCAAATAATTAGTTGAAGGTTTCTTTGTTGTCAGAAAAAAATGTTTACAATATGCCGTTCTAGAATCTCCCCTCTATCATTGCATATAGTTGATGCATGTTGAATAGTTACCTGTAATGGTTACTAAATTGTGACGACTTCAGATTCTGTGGGAATAAATTATATAGAATTTTATAGATTTGATGTGTCACATTTCCTTGCAAAGTTCATTCTATCTATTAACTAAATTTGATTGCCATCTAAAGTCAACACATTTATCATTTCACTAATAATTGACAGAGATCTTGATGAAAAAGTAAGAGACGCTCTTCATGGTTACATTGAAGAAAGAGGGGTCAATGAGAACCTCTTCCCATTTTTACAAGCTTGGCTTTATGTAAAAGATCACAGAAATCTCTTACGTTGGTTTAAGACAGTTGGAACATTTGTTAACGAGAGCCAGCTGGAAGCTTCACATGCTTAGTTGATTTCAAGGTAATTCTGAAGTTAATTATACACAAGACTGGATGAAGACCCCTCCGTGTGCTAGAAAATAGAGAGAAATTGAGGAAATAGAATGAGAAACTTTTTCGATGTACTCCTTTCGGTCTCTGTGATAGGAATAGGATATAGGTGTTGGTATAACTAATATATCTTTTGTGACAGTTCTTCGAGTCATTTATTTTTCCAGGTCATTTTAGTTTGATCTATTACACTCGTGCGGTTCTTCTATTAAGGCATTTCATACTTGAATAATTTGAAATTCCTGGATCGCATGCTGTTGGGTGCATGATTGTCTTAGAACAGTTTCTTATTACCTTTCATATGCTTGGATTGTTTTATTTCGTAGTTTGTGGTGAGATATCAAACGATTTGTTGTATTCTTCTATTTATTTAGTTGCGATGGGCTCCTCTCTCCCTGATACATATTTGTTTGAGGGCATTGTCATCCCAACTTGGCATCCACTATGCTAAATTTATTTATGATTCTTTACTGATCATCGCCATAGATTTTCTCTTATTGTTCGGGCCACTAAATACTTTCTCTGTGCTCAAACAGCTAGTTTGGATGATTGAATCCTTCGTTTGATTGTTTTATTGAAGTTTGACAAAGCATTCAGTCTTCCAGGGTATTAAAATCCGGACGGGCATCACAGGGTTCTACAGTTTAGTCATCGAGCCATATATGAGGTGTTTAGACCTATCATTATCTACAAATCTGGGTTGTTGCATTTGGTGACTTTCAACATTGATTTGTCTTCCCTTCTCATTTTCCTAATTATAGGGGTGGTGGGAAAAAAGAGTTAGGTTGAAGGGTGCCCTATTGGGTTCTCTTTAAAATTGCAAGCAAATCAAGCATACACGGACTTAAGTGCATGGATTATGACCCAAGTCTGCTCGCTAGTTTGAATATTTATGGAATTTGTTGTAGCTTAGATGTGTCTAAATGTGTTGAGCAGCACCATGCTGGACCAAGTCTATTCCACCTGAAAACTGGATGTCGGTTCCTAATCAAGCTGCTTGCTAGTTTGTATATTTATTGAATTTGTTTTAGCTTAGATTTGTCAAAATGTGTTGAGCAGCACCATGCCGGGCCAAGACTGGTACACCTGAATAGGTTTTGAACTGTTCTTGTTGAATTATCTTTTTCGATTGTTTTCAAGTGTTGTGCCTGACATTTTTATTCCCTGAAAAGAGCTAATCAGAAATTTGGTTTTTCTCTAAGTTCTTTTGAGTAACTTGCACTCTGTTTGGTAGCATAATTTAAATTTGCACGTCTTTTATTCAACTCCCTCCCAATGCCAAAAGAAAAAAGGTAGATGTACAGAAAATGTTTTGCCAGGAAACCAACAGAATCTCACATGGGGTGTGGGCCCCAGGTGAATAAAATATTGAAAAAAAATGCCGAGCCCCACCCATATTTGTATTCTGTTGGTTTTCTGGCAAAACCTTTTCTGTACATACAGCTTGGCTCAACATGCTAATAGCTAATAGAACTGTCTTTAGAATCCAACAAAACCATGTTCCCTGACAGAAAATGCACTTTACAAAACTACGAAAGGCTTATAAGTCAAGAAATAAATTTGAAGCAAATTATCAATTTATTAGTTAATCCACCAAAGATTCCAATGATACACAAAACGTTAACCAAACAAATAAGAACTTTGCATATTATTTCTGAATTGAAGATGACTTTGACTTGGTTCTGCTTGTCATCTCGCATGAAATTAAGCAAACAAATATACAAGCACATACAATCTTGCTCAACCAACAGAACGAAGGAATACTTGTGCCTTGACCCATATCACTCAGGAACGTCGTCCAAAGTAATCCTGCGTCTCCCCGGTTGAATATCACAAGGAGGAGGTAAATTAATACTCAACAACAAAATGGACATATAATCAATCCATTCTCATTGCATTCTGAGCATTTCATTACCTGACCATTCCCTTCAGGAACAATTTTTCGACTTCCATTGCAGCTAAAACACACGATAAACCTTATTCCAGCACAACCATCACATGGTCCTTCAGATTTATCAATAGGAATTCCTTCAAGAAGTGACTTTAACTTTCCTTGTTCATGCAATACCAAAACCTCTGCAGCTCCTCCAATGTACCTTCCCTTTATGAACAGCCTTGGAGGCAGTACTTTTTCACCCAAAATCTTCCACAACTCGTCCCTATACTCTGAATGCAGCGATATATCCCTCTCGTAGAAAGAAATCCTCAGGTTCTCCAATAGAGTTCGGATTCTATGACAGTCGTTGAATGTCTTTCGTATCCCTCTAAGGCCTGTGGTGTAGAGAATAACTGTATCTGTACCCCCTGGTGGACACTTGTCTTCATAATCTAGTAGAGGATCTGCAATTTCCTCGATTTTCCTTGACTTTAAAAGGGGGCCTTCATCGATTTCTTGACAATTTATTTCCTCAATTTGAACCCTTCTCTCTGCCTTATCTTGAGCTTTAACTTCCATAACTGCCTGCTCAAAGGCTGCAAGAAGATTCGGGTGGAAAAGGGATCCTGAGTCCAAATCTGGCTGCCTGAACAAAGACACATCAATCTCTTGTAAAGGGACCTGCTTTTCATCATCTTTACGAAATTCTTCTGTAGATTCCAAAACCTTATCCTTTGAATTTTCTACAAAATCATCTGGGATTTTCGACTTCTTTTCGGGTTTGACATTCTCCTTATCGTTGATATCACCATCGAATTCAAATTCTTGATCTTCAAGATCCTTCATAAGCTCTGTAACATCAATGATCTCTGGTTCTTGCATCATCAATCCATCATTCTCCACAACATTCTTGGGATTTTCTTGAATGGAAACCAGGGGTTTCCGGGGCACAGAATTGGATTTGGGTGGTGAAGTATATACATAGCCTTCAAATGCATTTACCTGAAGAATTCTTTCTGGTTTCAAATGCCCAATTGTTTTAATTGTCTTCAATTTCTTCAGTAGCCTTCCTTTCACTCCCTTCATCTTCAAAATCCGGTTCAGGAATTCAGGATTTTACTGAAGAGGATTAGAAAAGAGAGCGAAGTATGTTTTTTAATTGTCAGAGGAAAGACAAAAACATTTTCTTTTCTAATCGACAGCCTCTGCAGAGGGGAGAGAGGGAGTGATGTGTCAAAGAGGTAACGGCTAGAATATTTTGAAAATTGAAATGATTTGGTGGGAAGAGGTGCATTGCAGCTGGAGAGGAACAGAGAAATTTTGGATATCGGGTCGGGTCGGTATAAGTCGGGTCGGGCTGTATTGATTCAATCAATCGGATGGAGACATAAAGGGGACTTTTTGAGTTAAAATGTCATTTTTAAACGAGGTGACCACCAATTATTTTATAGCTTTGCTATCTTTTTAGGCACTTTCCCCATACTTTCTGAAAAAAATAAAGAGCATATCAATACTTTAGGAGTTCGGTCATCTACCTGCAATTAACCAAAGGGAAAACTTTCTTCGGTGAATTTTTAAATGTCTTGTAAACACTATTCCAGCAGAAACATAGCCTTTGACACCCATTTTAGAGAGAGAATAAATTTTGGAATAGTAGTTGATGGAAGAATGTGTGGCTAAGAAATAATGAAATTTTTTCAATTTATATATATTATTATTTTATTGATATAATGCGTGGTTGAAATGAAGAAAGAGAAAACAATGAAAAAGAAAATGAGTGTCTAACGGGGGCATAATATACGCTACACAATACGTATTTCACCAAACTGTTTACGCGGTTATGCTTCTACGGTTAACTTGATAAATTAGCGTTCGCTCCAATACAATAATATTAGAAGTTATAAAGGTTCTTTCTCGCATATCCCAAAGAGTTAAAAAGTGATTTGAAAGTGAAGTGAATCCGAATTCCAGAACTGCATAATGATAAGCATCTAAATTTCATGCACTAGTGCTATATAACAGAACAATATTGCAAGCAGTAACTTGTATTACAATACCAAGGCATGTCATATAAAATTCTCAAACCATTAGAACATAATATTAATACTATAATAGAAAACCAATATTGCAGAAAATACTGTTGTCTTGCCTAAACTTGAAAAACCCATAAATCAAAACCCCCTCCTTTTTCCTCTCTGCCACCATCAATATTAGTATTCACTGCTGGGCACACTGCACCCTCTGAGCCCCAGCATGCATATCATCATCATCTTCCTCGTATGCCTCTTGGGCAGCTTGCTGCTTCCTACGCATCTCTTCTTCAATGTTAACCGCATGCAAAGTAGTCTCCTCACATTCATCCAATTCCATGTCCGTAATTTGGGTTGTTGCCCTTGCAGGGAGCACTGTCTCAATAGCTTTGCATTGCTCCGTGTGCAGGGATTCAGGGAAATCCACAGTGAAATGGATGTATAATTTCCCTTTCATGAATGGCCTCTGGTACATGGGCATTCCTTCGTCATTAATGGCCTTGAATTGATCTGTGGCCCCATTAACAAATATTAGTGTTTGAACGTATAAAAAAAAAAGTAAGAAGTTATATCCCAACAGAAAATCAAGATTCAAAAATCAGTGAACCTTGCTAAAGTTGTATAGGAAGCTGTTATTTGTAAAAAAAAAAACCAAAAAGCAGAAAAACAAGTCATAGATAAGCAAATAAACAGATGGGAGCAGCAATAAAAACTCACCAGGTTTGACAACTTCCCCGGGCTGGGATTTAATGAGGAGCTGCCTATTGTCCAGATGAGTCAATATAAATTGGAATCCACATAGTGCTTCAGTCAGGGTCAAGGTGTGTTCAATAAATAGATCATCACCCTTCCGCTTAAACTTGGGGTGCTCCTTCTGTTGCAAGACGAACACAATGTCACCTGTAACTGTGTCAGGCTGCAAAAAATGGAAATTCGGTTAAAATCAATCCTAAAAAATAACCTCTTTAAAAAAATAATGAGAAAGCAAGTTAACTTCTCAATTACCGCTTCATCAGCCTCGCCAGGAAAAGTGACCCTTTGTCCATTCTGCATGCCTTTCTCCACATGGACCTCCAAAACCTTCTTCCCCTGCACAACCTTCTCACCCTTGCACTGTTGGCAGCGGTCCTTGTCACTTATGGTTTCACCTGTACCCTTACATTCATTACAAGGATGCTGCATCTGCTGGATCATGGATGGGCCAAGATGCCTGATGGAAACTTTCATCCCAGAACCTTGACAGCCACGACACTTCATTGAAGCACCTGATTTAGAACCTTTCCTGCACACCATCAATCAACAGCTTGACTGATTATAATCAATAATTAAGTCATCATCACAACAGCGTATGCAGTAAAACACACAAAACTCACCCCTTGCACTTGGAGCAGAGCACATTACGAGAAAGGGAAAGCTTCTTCGATGAACCATTATAGAGATCCTCAAGTGAAACCTTGAGAGGATGAATAACATCTTCTCCCCTTCTTTGCCTTCGGCCTCTGCTGCTTCCACCAGCACCTGGGGAAAACGATTCCCAGATATAATAAGTTTCTACCATCCAAGGCATGCAAACACCACTTGGGATTGTTAAAATCACTTACCACCAAAAGGACTACCACCAAAAAGGGATTCAAAGATATCAAACGGGTTGTGGCCACCGCCACCTCCACTCCCCATTCCTTCCTTGAGGGCATCCTCACCATATTGATCATAGATTTCACGCTTGTCCGCGTCACTCAAGACTTCATAAGCTTGTGCAATCTCTTTAAACTGCAACATTCATAAAAAGAAAAAGGCCACTACTTACGCGTGGAACAACAGTCTTAACACAAATAGAACAACCGAACTAGTAAAAATAAATAACTTGCTACGGTGCAACAAGAGAAAGAAACATAATGGCACCGCGTATTAAGAAAGCAGCACACAAAGCTGTGATTGTAAACATAAAACTTGCAGGCGTTCTAGTCAACAATTATAGTTTGCACTTTCCAAATTATGATTCAGTTACAAATATACATATCCATGAACGAATTTAAACATCAAATCATACTCAACAAACAGCTGACTAAAGCTAAATTCAGATCAAAAAAGGAAATTATAAATCGAAAAATACACAGCAATTCCAAGAATAACAGATCTGTACAAATTTAAAACAAACAATAATAACCATAGATTTACAGATAAATAAACATGACTATAACCAAATCCCCCCAAAGACGATTCACCAATCAAATATACCCAGTTCTAATAAAATTTAAAGAGTTACTTTTTCCGGGTCGCCGCCTTTATCGGGGTGGTTCTTGATGGCAGATTTACGGTAGGCCTTTTTGAGATCATCCTGTGAAGCATTCTTCGAAACTCCCAAGAGCTCGTAATACTTGGTGTTATTACTCTTCTTTGGTGCTCTCCCGAACATCTTTTCTTCTCCCTTTTTCTTTTTCAAATAATCAAAACCCCACACTCAAACCAACAAAAAATCAGAAAAACTAAACCAGATCGACGTTAATCAATCGATCTGATTCCTAGTAAAACAATACACAAAATTGCGTATTTTTTTTATAGAGAGAAGGAAGAAACTCGGGAGCTTCGCAAAGTCGAGTCGGCGAGATAGGAAGGATTGGGAGTTTGGTGGGTGTTGGGGTGAAGGGGGGTGTATATAGATCTGTAGATTTTTAGGTTAGGAAAGAAAATTTTAGACGGTTGAGATTTCATGTGATCGCCGCCGAAGAAGACCCACAATGTTTCCTCGTCAAGACCATGTTTGGAAGTAATAAATATTAGAAGAATCAATTATGTCATGTCATGGATCAACTTGAAATTCGAGATTCAAATTTTAAGATATCGTTAATTGAGTAAACAATTATCCCACATCTACGTATGAAATCGTTTTCTTTAATTATTTATAGTTTTTAATTACATTTATTATGTTTTTATTTATAAGTGATATCATAATCAATAAAAAGTTATATGTGAATCCAAACATGCACCAAGCTTAACGTTCTTCACGAGTTCAATGCTAATATTTTTTATGTTGTCAATTGTCAGCCAACTTTGAAATTGTTATTTCTAGTTTTGACCCTATATTTGTTTAAAAGACATCTCAATTTTTAAAGGGTGTTTGATAGAGATTAAAATTAAATTTTTAGTAAATTTTGATAGAAAATTTTGAAATGTGTGGTCGAAAATTTGTGAGACCTATGAAAGATATAATTAATATTAATTGTTTGACTTTAACTTTATGCACAAAAACCGGATGAGTCGGTGGTGAAGAAATTGTGATTATATATAAGCCCCTGTTTGGTGGGGATTAAAATTAGATTTTTAGTAAATTTTGATAGAAAATTTTGAAATGTGTGGTCGAAAATTTGTGAGACCTATGAAAGATATAATTAATATTAATTGTTTGACTTTAACTTGAATTAAAATCAGATTTTAATCCAGACCAAACACCGACTTAATGTTTTAAAATTCGATTCAAGCATTTATGTGAAAAAATTGAAAATATTTATGAACTGTTTAAATTATAAATAGATAAAGATTAATAGTCAGTAAGTGATAGTATTTGTTGATCCTTCAAAATACGTAAACAAAAGTGACAATATTTATAAATACAGGCGATTTAGCTACTTTCAACCCTTAATAGCGTGTATTAGGTTAGGGGTACCTGCAGAACCATGTAATTGTGGAACAAGCTTACTTTTTGGCTAGATTATTCGTAATTGCTCCAATTTTTTAAAATTATTTTTTTCTCATAATCATTTTCAATCATGCATTTTATGATATCCACAGCTTTTATCAATTTTTAATTACAAATTTTATCAAATTACTAAAAATCTAATTTTTAGTTAAAGCAAAACAGAAACTTACACGGTAGTCTTAACAAACATTCCAATGTGGTATATTATAAGGTGGTGCCAATGTAGAGGTCTTTCAAATTAGACTTTGTTACAGTAGGCTTCCGTTTGGCACCCAATTAATAAATAATTTATAAATTCAATTAGAATAAAATTTAATTTTAACTATATTCGTCGTTCCTGTTTATTTATTATTATCAAAATATTTCATGAGATCTGCTACTATTCATTTTTTATAAATTGATTTATAAGTTTCTTATTGACTATTAAACTTTAAGAAAATTTGGATGGTCCCAGAACTTATCAAATTTTTATTTCATTCATCACTCAATAACTCATTGTTAAAAAGATTGGTGAACTCGTTGACGTGGAAAATAAAAACGTCGACATGGCACGTTATTGTTGTTAATTGACAACAAATTAACCCTAAAACGCACTTAGAAAAAATGTGATTAAAGCAGGGACGGATGGAGCCAACTAATTTTTTTTTAGTTAGAAAAAAAAAATCATGTGTATTTTTTAAGGGAAAAAATAAAAAATAAGGTGTTTAAGTTTCTAACTCCAAAAATCAGGTTTATAGTTTAAAAATTCAAAAATCGGGTTTTATTTTTATTTTTATTAAATAAAGATAATAAAGTCACATTTTTGTGATTAATGGTCACATATTCATAGTTATAAGTCACGAATTTATTTACTG